TTTTTTTTTTGCTTATTATAATACTGAAACCTAAGATTTATAAAAGAGATGATGTCGTGCACACGTGATAACCTGCCATTTAATTCTGTAAAGCAGGTGTTCCCCATTGTTACAGGGGTGGGGGTGGAGGATGAAGCTTCCACAATGTCAGTGACTTGCCCAAGACCCCTTGGCCAGATACCAGCCCCAGAGAGAGAACGCTGGCCAGCTCTCTCAATCCCCTCCTGCCCTGCCACCTTAGCTGCCGATGACTCCAAAGTCTTATGAAAAATAACACTTGAGGCCATTCAGAAATGAAGACGCCTCCGGGAACCGACAGGAAGCAGAGTCCCTGGGACTTGGCTTCACTCAGGCTATCATCAAGTGGTCTGCGCACCTGGTCAAAGAGCTCGAAGAGCTTGGCGCTGGGCTGATGGACAGTGCAGATGATGGACCTCCCTCCTTGGGCCAGTCCTTTCATCAGGGAGACCACCTGGAAGCAGGAGGCGCTATCCAGGCCGCTGCAAGGCAAGGGGCACCGTCAGATGCCTGTGGGACCCCCCAGCCATACCCTGTATTCAGCTCACACTGGGGAGGCCTGTGCTGCATGCCTGAGCCTGTCATGTCTTCTAGAAGCGGATGGAGAGAGGGAGGGAAGTCAGGCCTCCCCTCGGGGACCCCGGGATAGGAGAAAAAGACGGGCAGGCAGAGCACATGCCTCCCCACTTCTGAGGCTACTGTGGGGCCCCCCATGGACACTGCTGATGGGGAGGACGGGGCTCCTCCCTCACTGCTCCTGATTACCTGGTGGGCTCATCGAAGAACATGACGGGAGGGTTGTTCACCAGCTCCAGTGCGATGGCCAGGCGCTTCCGCTGGCCGCCCGAGAGGCTTCCGGTTCTCGTGTTGGCGCAAGACAGCAAGCCCAGAGCCGTCAGGATCTCCTTGACCTGAGGGAGCAACAGGGCCAGAGTGTCCGTCAGGGACTGCCCACCACACTTCACCACCTACAGGGCCCATGTGGAAACACCTGCTGCCTCCCGCATCCCACTCGTGGATACACACGGATGGGACTGCAGAGCGGGGCCCATTGCCGAGTGGACAGGCAAGTTTCCAAGTCCGAGGTCCTGATTTGGGCCCAGGAGGCTGGGAAGCAGTGCTGGAGCCAGGCCCGCCTGGGGCGGAGTCTCCGATATGCCTCCTGCAGAGGTGACCTTGCGGGCCTCTTTAAGCCTCGCTCAGGGCCCAGGTCAGGGAAGGTGCCCAATCACCGTTTGTGGAACAGATAGACCGGCAGACGCACAGAGGATGATCAGGTTTCTGACCAGCACAGAGGGGAGGGCCATCGTGGCAGTTAAATGGGATAAGGAATCAAAACACCCAGCTCAGGGCTTGGCACACAGGAAGCATTTAATCAACAGCAGCGACCAATGCCACCATTTTTAGCGCACACGGTTCCTGCAGACGCGCCCCACGCAGGCCGGGTCTCTCCAGAAGAAGGAAAGCTGCCCCCTGGCACTTGTCAATAGAAGAACCAGGTGTCCGACGTGCCAGCAAGGCCAGGAAACCGCTTAAAGCCGTCACCACCCTCCACGGTGGCCCTGCCGAGGCCGGGCCCCGGGAAGCAGGCTGGGCACTGGGTTACAAACAGTCCACTGGGACGACGCCTTCCTGTCCGCTCCAGATGACTGACCCAGCATGGGCTCAGGGAACAGAAAGTCAGCAGGCTTCAGTGCAGTGTCTTCCCAGAGGCAGCCCCTGGGAAGGCAGGGGTCCACCGCCACTGTCCCGCGTCCACACCAGGCTCGCCGCCCAGGGCCAGCCCCCCTGGAGGTCCCACCACGGCCACCATCCTGGCCCCTCGCGGCAGAAGCAGGCGGACCCCAGTCCAGTGGCTTCTCTGGGGAGATGAGGTCATCCCAAAGGAGAAAGAACTCCCAGGGAAGAAAAATTTCACTCCAGCTCTTGAATTCCTGGTGCACGGTCAGTACAGAATGCAAGCCTGGGTGATGATAAGAGCTGGGGCACCACTGCCCCCCAGCCCGGGAGGCAGTCAGGTCAGACGGACTTGGGTCTGAATCCCACCAGGCTCTTCCCTTGCTGACCCATAAACCCAACCCACGGCCCTTCTAGGACACACTGCATTTGAGGGATCCCAACCTAGAAAGAAGGTCAGCAAGGTTTCCCGGGAAGGGCCATCGAAGGGGGGCTGTGGGGGGGTGTGTGTGTGCCCTGGCCCACTTCCTTCCCCTGCAGACAGCACCTGTTGGCTTTCCCAGAGCCACCAAGCTCATTTGGTCGTCTGGGACACAGACTGAACTTGCAGAATGAAAGGTCATTCTGGTTGTTCCAGGTTCGTCTTTGGGGTCCCCCTGCAGCACGGAGCATGCCCTGTCCTGTCCACGATCTGTCCTCTTGGGGATCCCTCCTTGTGGTCGGGCGTGGTCCCGTTCCATGTACCCTCGGCCCCCACAGACAGGACGCAGGAGGTGGAGGCAAATATCGGTGTCTGTCCTTCTCCTGCCTGTCCAGCCCATTTCTCCGGTGTTCTCTCAAGAGTGACGCTCTGCTGGTTGGTTTTGTTCTAAAACTAGTCAGAAAGAACAATGTCCCAGCCCTGGGAGACTTTGCTCCTGAGAAAGCCCCTTGCTGGGGACCCTCGAGGGCTGAGGCTGCTTTTCTGGGAACCAAGGAAGGCTGTGGACAACACATTCCATTACCTAGTAGAACATTCTATCCTAAGGGCACCTGGGTGGCTCAGTCGATTAAGCATCTGACTTCGGCTCAGGCCATGATCTCACGGTTCGTGAGTTTGAGCCCTGTGTCAGGCTCTGTGCTGACAGCTCGGAGCCTGGAGCCTGCTTCGGATTCTGTGTCTCCCTCTCTCTGCCCCTCCCCTGCTTGTGCTCTCTCTTTCGCTCTTTCTCTCTCTCAAAAATAAAGGCTAAAAAATTTTTTTAAAAAAAATAGAACATTCCATTCTATTGTGTTTCCACAAGATACAAACAACTGTAACTCAAGCTAGAGGGAAATGAGTCACACTCGCCACTGTTTCATCCTGGAAATAACCAGCCAATCCGGCAGATGCATTCTCGGGGGAGGCGGGACCCACACCTGGCTGAAAACCAGAACGGGGGCTTCTGGTAAGAAATGTGTGCGGGACCCAAGACCACCGCTAGGCGTGCATGCTCATGGCCTTGCTCGGTCCAGCAGCAGACGAATCTGAAGACGGGGCAAGCCTCTTGCTCCCTCGGGACGATCAGCCACGCAGCTGGCAGACGAGACCCTCACTGACTTGCTGTCTTTGCTCTTGTAACCCAGCTGAGAACAGCATGAGGCTCTGGTCTGCTCGTGTCTTAGGTCAGGCGTATGGAGGACATGTGCACAGGCGTGGCCCGCCCGGGAGACACCTGCTCGCCCCACCAAGAAGGCCTTCTCACCCCGTCCCTTCTGCTAGAGCAGGAAGAGTGGGTTCCACAGCCCTCCCCAAAGACCCCGACCAGCTCCCCGATGGAGGCTGGAAGCCGGTTTCTGAAGACCTGGCTCAAGAGGCAAGAGGGCCTGTGTGTGATACAGAATGTCAGCCGAGAAGCACGCATTGCCCTCCCAGCCCTCCAGCGAAAGCTACGTTCCTGTTCCGTTTCCCCACGGAGAGGGCTGTCCAGGAGAGTCATGCTGCAGGAAGATCACCCCGAGTCTGCTCTGTGGATCCACGAGCTAAGTCAGCTTCACACTGCCCGGAGGGCAGGGGCGGCCGTGGTCTCTAGCCCTCATTACAGACAACGGTCCAGAGCGCTGGAGGCAGTGACCCAAGGTTATCCAGTGGGTCCTAGGAGGCCAGAGCTGAAGGGGTCCCCCTGTGGACCTAGCTCCGCCTCACGGCAGGGCCCTCTCCGTGTCAGCAAGACCCTCCACCTCCCCTGTCCACTCACCACCGTACTGTGTAGTCCTGAGCGGAACTATAACCTGGCCCTCCCTCGCTCCGAGGGGCCTTCCCTCCACGGCTTTCCCCGGCGGGCCCGAGGTGGTTGTTCACTCCTGGGGGCCTTCCACGTTCGGCACCAACGACCCAGCCCACCCCTCCCACCTTCCTAAGGGGGTCCCCACATTTGCCCCGTCTCTGTCCCGGGTTCCAGCAATCTATTTCATTCCTTTGGGCTTCAGAATAAAAGAACGCCACAGGGGGCATCCTGACAGCAGCAGGGGTCTTGGCTCCGCTCCCACCTGCATCCACCCGCGTGGCTGACCTCGGACTCCGGGGCTGACCCTGAGGGATCTGAAGGGCGCCGGCCAGGCCAGGGTCGGGGTGGGGGGCACAGGGGAGAGAAGGAGCCCCAGCGATGCCCAGCATTGTGTTCATGGCACACTCGTGGAACATGAACTAGTATGTGCACGGGAGAGGGAACAGACGTGGGAAATAGACTTGCTATTAATGTTCCTTAACCAGGCCCTGCCTCTCATCACCGCAGACTACAGCAAACGTAAGGCGCTGACCAGCACCGCTGGCGCTGAACCTGCAGCCTACTCTTTCTGCCTCCGGACTGTCGTCTTCTGATGGTGTCAGAAGACAAGAGAGTACTGCGAGAGTGGCATTTCGCCCAATTTTACTCTTCCATTGAAATCCCACTAGCACCAGGCTAGCCAGGGAGCGGAGGAGGGACGTTGAGTCTCCCCCAGACGATGGGTAAACATAAATCCGTCACACCCGCCACCGAGTGTGGCTTGCCCACTCCCGATGGGGTGCTGACCCGGCACCTTCCCTGTGCCCTGGGCTTTAGGGAAGCAGCGAGGAGGGGGATGAAAAGGTTTACAGAAGGCCTCCAGCATCCTGGAAACTTACTTATTTGATTTTTTTAAGGCTGCTTAATAACACGTTAAGAACCAAATATCTTCTTGTGAGTGCGTGTGGGTGGAGGCTGGTTATTTTTAAGCGAGTGACTAACCATCTTCATTGTTAGTGTTTTATAAAAAACAACAACAATGGAGTACAAAGCACATTAAACACTAAAAAGGGGCAGAACGCTTGGTCTAGCGTTGAGGCTGGTGTCCTCTGACCACCTAAGCTTTCCTGCCGCGCCCTTGCCATTTGGTGGCTACGCTAAGAGCTGTAAGTCTTTGGCAAGGCGGGCCACTCCTGGGTCCCGGCTGCCAAGCCTGGGGCGCACACTGAGATGTCACTGTCCCCCCATGCAGAAGGCTAGGTGACGAACCAGCAAACAAAAGCAGGGCCACAAAGTCCCTCCCCACGCCTCCACCAAAGGGATTTCACGCACTTTCTGGACCACCTGTGGCCCAATCCCACACTTACCATCTCCCTCCTGCCTTCGTCCTTCTCCTGGAGCTTCAGATGTGCAGACACCTGCAGGGTGGGGAATCAGAACAGACCACGGTCAGCAGGGCAAGCTAACTCACTGGTCTGCTGTGGGCTGGAGCCTGAGCGGCCACGCTGCCAGATAATGGAGGAAAGCCCCTGGAGCTCTTGGTTTCCTACCCGCCTTGGCTTAACAAAGGCGGGGTCCCAGAGAGCAGCACGTGTCTGGATTGCTTCCTGTCATCTCAGACGGGTTCTCTGCTGTGCCCACAAGAGAAGGTGGGTAGGGGCAGCTGACAGTCAAGGAAACCCCAGGCATCAGGGGCTTAAAGACCAGGCCACCCGTTAAACCACTGGACAGCTTAAGGCTATCCACAGTGGGAGTGCTTACACCGCAGAAATTGGAAAGTGCTAAATATTAGGACCCCCCCCCCCCCGGCATTGTTTTGTTTTGTTTGAGATCCGGTTGGCTGTGCACAATGCTGCTGGGTAAAACCTTGGGTAGCAATCAGCATCCAGTGTCAGCCCTGGTTCTGCCCTGCCAGGTTCCGTGGGCCACCATGGGAGACAGGGGCACACCTCCCATCCAGGCCTGGGTGGCTCACAGGGCCGGCTGCCTGCTGGGTAACACCGAGTGTCACCTGGTTGTCTGCCTGGTGGTGGTAAGGATCAGAAGCAGCACGTGGAAAGGCACAGCTGTCGCGACACATGCCTGGGACTGGGTGTGGGTGGCTGGTGTCACCCCCACCCCTGTGACAGGACCTTCTGAAGCCAAAGGCATGATTTCCCCAAGAGAGAGGTGGTTTTCAAGGTATCATACAACTCTCAAAATCAAAATCTTATTTAATTTCATGCTGAAAATGGATTTCACAGCACAGCCTGGTGACAGCTTGGTGAGAGTCACCAATCTTGTCTGCAAAAGAAAGCAGTGATCGAGCTGGAAATCGAAATGAAGCTTCTCAGTCAAGTAACCAAGTGTTTAGTTCAGTAACTCGCCAAGAAGCTAAACTCTGGTCTCCCAGGAGAAAGGCGAAAAACTAAGTTTGAATTTTCTAAATCGACTGTTCTTTTCGTAACCCCTCCTAAGTTCCCTGTGCCCCATGAGAATGGCCACTTGGAGGCAGAATAAGCTATTAGAGGCACTGAGCGTGTGTGCCTGCTGGCAAAGAGACGTCTCTCCTTCCAGAACATTCAGCACCAGGCATGTGAACGAAGACAACCCACAGAGCAGGTCGGGGACAGGTGGCGTATCCTACATCTTACCTGTTCCCCTTTGCTGATCTGAGAAGCCCTTGGAGTTGCCCTTCAGATAAGTTGGCAGGCAGCCCTCTCCAAGCCCACAGAGAGGAAGCTTTGCCCTGTCCAGGTCAGGAGCACAGGGCAAGACCTCTCTGGGCAGGAGAGTGAAGGTAAAAGCCTGTTTACTGACCAGGCCCCAGGCAGAGCACCCCAGAACATTCCCCACGGTGCCAGGAGGGACCTGGGGGCCGCACACTATCTTTTGCAGCAGGTGAGGCCAAGGCAGAAAAGCTAGCAGCCCCATGCACAACCAGTGGGGGGCCGAGGACAAGACCCTCAAGGCCCTAACCCAGGCACCAGATCGGGGAACTTGGGCCCAAAGCCACAAACAACTAAGGGCAGCTGATGGCCCTTAGGGGCGATAGGGGTGTGTCTGATGGTGTATCAGTAACCTCACAAACTTGGCCATGAATTTGCCATCCAGAGTCTATGAGAAGTCAGAGTCTTGGGAGTTTGTTTTCGATGAAGCTGTCCAAACAGCATGCCTGGTGTGAGAGCTGCGCTGGAGGGAGGTGGCTCGCAGAGCCCCCAGCCCCACGCCGGGCACTGCTCTAATGGGGGGAGGGGTAAGGGGGGCAGACCGTGCAGGCTCAGGCCGGTGGGCGGCTCACCATCATGGCTTCCTGCACAGTGAGGTGTGGCAACAGCATGTCGTCCTGCATGATGTAACAGGACACCTTCCGGAAGCAGCGCAGATCCCGGGGCAGGCCGTTGATGAGGACGACCCCCTTCATGCCAGTCTCCCTGCAGAGCCGAGAGCGGACACCGTCAGCTCCTCCTCCAGGGCCCTGGGGAGGGAGGAGGCCCCTCCCAGCATCTTCCCGACGGACCGTTTACCGCAGGGACACCAAGGGGCAGGCAGGAGGGGATGGGGACCCAGAACAGTACCAGGACTCGCAAGAAGGAGCTGCACGGAGACCACGCTCGGGATGGACGGGGAGGTGAACCGAATCCGTAAGTAACCAGCGCTTACGAACAAAGATGCGCGTGGGTGCTCCCACGCGTGGCCACCAGGAACAAGTCCCCCCCCCCCCTCAGCCACTGTGGTCGAGGCCAAGGCCACCCGGCGGCCACCTGTGGCAGGTGGGGGTTACCGGGAAGAACCAGCTCCTGAGGGCGGAGACCGAGCAGGCTCCCTGTGTGCAGGTGGCTCAGAGGAGGGGGTCTGGGCCCTGCATCCATTCGCCAAGCGGATGCTCCTTCTCCACAGGTGAAGTTGTCCCCGGCCCACGCATGGTCGACATGGCGCAACAGAGAGGAGACCTGAAGGGACATCTGCCTCCCCTCCCCACTCCACGTGCACTGGGCGCCTGGCCCAGGAGGGGGGGGGGGACGGACAGGGGCCTCCCTAAGGAAGTGCTCTCCTGGATGTCTCTCAAGCAAGTTAGAAACACCGAGGGATAGTGGGAGACCAAAGTGAAGCCATGGGAGTCTGGAGCCAGGCCTCATCCTGCCATTACTATGACCTTGGGCTCAGGCACGGGCTGATCCCCACCCCCTCTCCCCAGAATAGCAACCTCTCAGTGGGGCCACAGCCCCCAGGCTGCCTGAGCACCCCCTCAGGCTGGCACTGTGGGCGCGGATGCTGACAGCATGCCCCCCCCCCCGGGCACCCATGCACCTCCCCCCTGATGCTGGACGCGATCAACCTTGCTGTCAGGTTTTTAAGGTAACCAATTTCTGGCAGAATATGAGTACGCAGAGGTCCCAAGGAAAGAGGTGATAGTGTCTTTTTTGTTGTTTGAGATGAAATTTTTGAGTATTAACAGTGTTACAGCAAATGCAAGTCTCTAGAGCTGGAAGACATATTATCAGGGGTGACTTGAGGAGCACAACAAAGCTTTCTTTTTTTTTTTTAATTTTTTTTCAACGCTATTGTATTTTTGGGACAGAGAGGAGACAGAGCATGAACGGGGGAGGGGCAGAGAGAGAGAGGAGACACAGAATGAAGCACAGGCTCGAGCCATCAGCAGAGCCTGACGCGCGTCAACTCACGACCGCCACACAGACCTGGCTGAAGTTTATCGACCACCCATCCCATTGCGCCTCACCCAGTGTTTCCCAGGAGCACAGTTTCAACACCCATGAGGATTGGGCTTTCCGGTGATGCCCCCAGGAATGACACGGGGCAGGACGTCCAGGGCTAACACAGGCACTGGCAGGAGTGTGTGAGCTCGGGGACCCAGCCTGATGGTCCTCCTGCTCATCTTACATTAGACCCTGACTCACACTAGTCTTAGAGTTCTCCTGCTGTCCCCTCCCCAGCCTTGACCTTCCTCCTTCTTCCTATCCTGCGCCTGGCCGCGGCTGAGCCCACGAGGGAGCCCACCCGGCTGCTCCGTCCCGTGGCCTCCTTCCCCTGCACGTGGGCCGTCCACCCTCCACCGTCACGTGACATTGAGCAGGTGCTGCCCTCTGACACTTTCAAAGTCACTGCCGTCCCTGCAGGGCTTCCTTCCCGGATCCCAAGGCCTCTCGCTGCTAAACCCCACAGGTCACAGTCTGTACAGAACCTTAAGAAGTGACAGGTCGAACAGAAGGGGCTTCTCTCTCCCGACTGCCACCCACAGGCCAACCACGGGGTGAGGACCTGTTTCTCCGCAGAGGCGGGCTCACCTGTATCCAGCCAGAATGTTCATGAGTGTGGACTTCCCGGCCCCAGAGGGACCCATGATGGCCACCAGCTCCCCGCTGTTGAACTTCCCGGAGATGCCTTTCAGAAGGGTCTTGTATCCTGCGGAAAGCACATCACACCCGTTTCCCAGCTGCTGATCGCAGGGATCATGGGCTTTTCCGCCAGGCAATACAGGCAAACCCACGAGGACACCCGACGATGTAACCACGGCCAGAAAGCAAGATCTTACACGCGTGGCCTAAATGCCGAGTTCTGAGGGCGAAAGCCCACCGCCCGTGTGCCTCCATCTTCCTCAGTTGCACACCCCCCGGCGTTATGTTAGCAGCGACCCGCACACGTGCGCTGCTCTAGTGTTTATAAAGCACTTGCGTGTGCATTAATTATCTGGCCTACAGGGAATCCACCACCTCGTTTTGGAATAAGACCAGGGGGTCTGGTGTCTCCTTCAGGACCCCCACAGCCAGTGTGAACAGAGCTCAACCCAGGGCCACACCGCCAGCCATGTCACTTCCGCCCCCGCGATGGGGAGCAAGTATGTTTATTTACTTATTTTTTTTTTTAATTTTTTTTAACGTTCATTTATTTTTGAGACAGAGAGAGAGCATGAACGGGGGAGAGTCAGAGAGAGAGGGAGACACAGAATCCGAAACAGGCTCCAGGTTCCGAGCTGTCAGCACAGAGCCCGACGCGGGGCTTGAACTCACAGAGTGTGAGATCATGACCTGAGCCGAAGTCGGACGCTCAACTGACCGAGCCACCCAGGTGCCCCGCAAGTGTGTTTATTAACGAAACGGTTATTTCATTTATTTACAGTTTGTACACACACAAACTATTCACGCAAGACTTCTTCATAAACCATCGCCTTCTAATTAAATAATTAAAATAGTATTAGTTAATTAATAATTAAGGGCTTGTCGTTTTGCAGCCACATCAAATTGCTTTGGAAGCTCTGCCAAGTCTCCATCCGAGAGCCTCGTAAAAGGAGAAGGACCACACGTCACAGAGAGCCACGTTCGCCCACCTTCGAGTAGACCGTTCAACGTGCGGCAATAAAACAGAAGCAGCTGGACCCACGGGTAAAAACTCCTGATTCGGACCCATTTCCTCAGTTCCTGAGAAACGTGCTCAGAAGGGACCCCACCAGGACCACAGTCACGCAAACGAAGCGTTTCACCCCCCACGGCCAACACTTACAGGGGCCGGTGAAGCCCTCCAGGCAGGGAGCCCCTCCTTTCGACTTTCTCCCCAGTCGCTGGCTGTATGCTTCCGGTACCCCCAAACCTGCACGGGCCTGGGGGGGTTCTCGCCCAGCTGTCTACTCGTCTTCCACAGATGGGGCCCCTCAACCCCGCACCTGTCACCATGTGCCACCTCGATTTGGACAGGGAGTCCCCGAGGACTTGTTTAATCAGGCAGAGAGAAGCAGAAGCAAAAAGCAGGAAGCCTGTGGCCCCGCGATCTGCCTCATTACGGAGAGCGGCAGAGTGCCCTGGGGAGATTGCGCCGGGTAGGAAGGGGCAGAGGAGCTCACATTCCTACCGCTGGGATGTGGGGGACTTAGCGGAAAGGGAGACCAGCTGCAGGCAGGGGCTGGGACCCCAAGGACGGCGTCTGCATCTGCCCTGTGGCGGACGGACACATGGAAAAGCTGGGGATCAGCAGAGGCTTCTCCTTTGCAAGGTCAAGCTCCCCGTGCGGTGGGACCTCATCAGGCGCCCTGGGGCCTGGGCCACAGGGACCCAAATGACATCACTGAGGGTGCACTAATTCCAGAAAGGCGTCTGCTCCTTCCTGGCCTCCCGGTGGGCAGTTCAGGTGGGGATCGGGGTTACTCCCGAGCAAACCCTCCCTTGAGTCTGTCCTGTGAACCAGTAACCTCCCGAGGATGTAGGTGACTCACTGAGATGGCCATGTGCGGGCCAAGGGCCGTCTGACGGCCTGGGGGCGGCCTTGTGCCCCGGGGTTCCGAGAGGCCCTTTCCCTCTGGGCAGAGCCCATGGGGGCTCCTCTGACAGCACCTGGGGCTGCCCCTTGGTATTGGGGGGCAGATAATAGCACAACTCACACAGGCGGTGATGCCCACGGCCGGCACACGGGGACGTGCACCAAACCCATGGGAGCGGTGGACTCATCTGGCCCTTTCAAGAGAAGGTGGGCCCATAGAGATGTGGCCTGTGGTCTTGTCATTTAGAGCCACCGACTGGGACTGTACATGTGCCCACGAACCCCGTACTGGCTTCGTGGGCCAGGGCCAGGTGGAGCGAGGCTGGTGAGGCTGACGACTCATGCCTCGGGGAGGGGCGCTGGCTCCCAGGGCAGCCAGTGAGGCCAGGTGCATGCGGCGGGCTGGCCAAGGGGGTCCTCCCGAGCGGGGCCTGCACGGGTCCGGTGGCGGAGAAGGTACCAGACCCGGCGTGGGGCTGTGCTTCTTTAAGATCAGAAACCTGCTTTTCTTTAGAAACAGCGAACACACATTCGGGAGTGAAGAATCGTAAAAGTGACAGTGGAACCAAGAAATCACCAGCCTGTCTGGACCCGCAAGGGTCCGAGTTCACACTCGGACGTGGGGCCCCCAGTGTGGTGCCCAAGGACCGGGCGCACCCATTAGAATCGTGTTTGTGAGTGTCCCACACGTGCTCACTCTATTTGTGCAGCAAAATCATCCTTGGCTGCAGAGCCTTGCACTTGACCCCTTGCAGAAATACGGAATGCGAGAATACGTGAGGCGTCCCAAACCCCCACCCTACGTCCCGAGCTTGAGCTCGGCCCAGCCCAGCTCTTGGCACGATGGGGGAGCCACCTCCTTCGTGTGCTGTGGACACTCGATACGTGTGCTCTCCCTGCTGCTTCTGGTGAGGCAGTGATTTTCCGGGGATCACCAAGTGCAGAAACCACAGAGGGGCAGGGCCCCCCTGCCGCGTGCGGACAGCCCATCCCTAAAACAGCCGGGCAAGAAGCCAGATCAAAACCCACACAACAGAGGAGCGGAGAGAAAGACACAAAGACAGAGAGGACAGTGCCCCAGGTCCCTCCAGCCCAGGGACGAGAACTCTGCTCAGACACCGGCCCTTCCACCTCAGAGGAGGTTAGCGCCACTCTGTCGCGGGGACCCACGTTGGCGAACAGTGCTTCAGGGGGCAACGGCGTCTGTCGACCCCCACGAGGTGCTGGGGACACACAGCGGCAAAGCTTCAGCCTGGGGGGGCACACAGATGTCTCGTTTTGTAGAAACGTGCCCTTGGAGGGGAAGGACGGGGGACAGCCCGGCCCTCGGGCGAGTGCCAGCTCTGGGCGCGCTCACTCGGGGTGAGCACGGCACCCGCTTCGCTCACAGCTTCCCCTCTGTGCCCCACAGCAAGCTGAGTACTGGGTTCCTCCCCATAAGCTGCAGACCAGAAGCCAGGGCCCAGAGAGGGCGTGTGACCTGCCCAAGGTCCCACAGCGGGTCAGCAGAGAAGGCCAGCACTGCAAGCGCTGTGCGAATCTCCAGCAGGGGCTCTTGCAGCCGGGGGCCTGATGTGCCGCCAGTGCCAGCAATGCCGTCGCGGGGTTTGGGCGTCGCTCCCGCCCCCCAGCGTGGCCTGACACCCCCCACCCCCCCAATCAGTGTCGGCTCAACCCAGGCACGTGCGTTCCGTCTGCTACTGTGTGAAGCGCTTCACAGAGAAAGGGAAGAAATGACGTGCCTTTCGCCCCCCAAAGACAGGATCCCCTCCCTCCCCGGAGGCCCAGGTTGCCACCCGGGGGCAGGCGGAGCTGAGAGGTCCCAGGGGGCTCGGGCCGAAAACGCCCTGTGTGCACCCAAAGAGCTCGGAGCGGGTCGAATCCTCCCCTCCCCTTCCAGATCTTCATTCCGTAAAACGCCCTCAAGGTAAAAACAAACACTTCCTGCCGGGGTGAGGGAGGGTCTTCTGTGGTTTAGGGAGGACTCACTCAAGCCCTGTGTATGTTAGGAACCCCTTGGTGCACGTGGGAAGACAGGCGTCCTCTGACCGAACAGACGCTCCCTGATACTAAAGTGCCTCCAGCCACCCAGCCCGGCGGCGCAGGGACAAAGGGGTTCGGCAGACGTGTTTCAGAGCAGCGCCCGCAAATCGGGGCCCGCTGTCGGAGCCCTCGGGGACCCGTTAGGCCCCGATCCTAGTGACCTGCAGAAAATAACAAGCAGCATGTCCCGCAGGCTCCAGCCAGTGACTCGCTGGCTCAGGCCTCACTGACCGAGTTGTGGCTTTAGAACACGCGGCTGTTTCTAGAGAGGTTTCCAGGGTCAGTGCGTCGCTAGGTTTTGTTTCTGAGCCACGGCAAACAAGGGCGCGCTGTCTCACCACGCCGGGCAGCGGACGGAGAAGCGGGCGCCCCCAGAGAGGGGGCTCTTTCCGTGCTCATCCGAGGGCCGAATGCCATCCTGACGGTCCAGGGCGCTGACCCCGCCGGGGGTGGGGCACGCACGCCATAAAAATAACGGTGCAGGAACAGTCCCCACGCGGGCAGCTGTGCAGAGGCCACAGAGGGGCCGCCCTCCTGGGTCTGCTCGCTCACTCAAGACCCGGCCCAGGTGGCTGTGCCCACAGAATAAACCACGGACCCCCCTGCTTTGCTGCAGAAGCAAATGGGTGTGGCCACGTTCCAATAAACCTGACTTACAAACCGAGGAGGCGGGCGGATTTGGTGGTTTGTGACCCTGTTCTAGAACTCTGGAGCAGGGACTGGCCCGGCACCAGAGGCGGCTGGGCTCCCACCAAGGTCGCTTCTCTCAGGTGGGTGCGCTTGCTAGCTGTGGGAAGGCCAGGTAGGGCTGGCGTGCGCCTGCTCTAGGGGAGAATGGGGGAACTGAGGCAGCTCTGAGAGGAAACGAACTTCACCCTCCACCCCGGAGCGAGGGGGACGCTAGCCCAGACCCAACTCAGCAGCATGAATGAGACGGCCTGTCAGGGTGCCCGCTGCTCCCCCATCACACCCAGACTCCCCATGGTGACATCCTAACCAGGAAGCCACACTGCCCCTGGGCGGGGCGGGGGGAGCCCCCTAGGACCGCGGTCTCCAGAGCCACCCACAGGGGCCACCTCCTCACGGGCCCTCAGGGCAGCTGCTATCAGCAC